TACCAAGAAGGCTTGAGCTCCACTGTTCATTGCTCGCGCCATTTTGACCGCGTTGACACGTGTCGTCACCGGCTCCGGCTCCGTCCATTTCGGAAGCGTCGTCTTTCCTCCATATCCTCGCACGACGCACGCCCTAGTTGTCCAGTCGATCGTCGGATTCAATCTCTTCCCAATAGCACATCGCAGCCATCCAACGTCGTCGCCAACATCTTCATGCGAAACCCGAATTTTTCGCCACACTGTATCCGAATTTGTCGCGCTTCATCTCGGATGGCCGGTGGTGTCTCGTCCACCAGCCTTGCATCAATCTCCGGCAGACACCTCGTCAGCTTCAACCCAATTTTTTTAGCCGTTGTCAGGTTGACGAGACTGTGGCTCGCCCCACCGTCAACGAATAATTTTATATTATAACCGTTAACCCTCCCTACCACCAGCACAGGGTAGTCCACGTGTTCACCCACGTTATTCGTCCGGTTCTGGTCGATAGCTTTGATCGGTACCACGACCCGTTTTGGATGGTGATTGTCGGGCGACAGGGTCTCGTCAGTAGGTGGCCCTTCTGCTACTGACTTGTCAGAACTATGTTGATTATAATTGCATGTAGTTCTAGCTGTAGTGTAGTTATTAAATTTGTAGGTGGTGCACCTCTTCATTTGTTTCCTTAGCTATATGTACTTCGAAATCTATAGTGAAACACACATTCTTCCCAACTGTGAAAGGCTGAACGAGAATGGTAGCAAGGCTTGAGCTAGGCTAAGTAGCCATAGCTAGTTAGGAGCCTTTGTGATTAAGTTCGAGTGAGTTGAGTTAGGAGAGTCGAGAAAGTTGAAAAGAGAAGAGAAGGGTTTCACTATAGAGCGAGCAGTACATATATGCAAGAAGAAAGGTGCACCACCAAACAGAAGATTGTATAACTACAGTAGTCTACACTACAGGCAGTTACAAAACAATATATAGATTTATATATTATTCTGACACACATTCTTCCCAACTTCTCTTCCAACTCACTCGAACCTCACCCTAGGCAAGAACCACTCGACATACTAGTTGGGCCTAGGCTACTAAGCCTAGGCCCTAGTTTAAACTACTCGTTCATCCTCGTTCTTCCCTTTCACATGGTATCAGAGCGTGTTACGACTTGGCCTGTGGGCCCGCCTCATGCTTCCGCTGCTACGCTTTTCCGGTCGCGCGCCTAGGGCGCGTGGCGATTTTCCCTTGTCCCGCCCCTGGTTGGCGTGTGACTCCTTATCTGCCCATCGCGCGCCCCGTGGCACGCGACGGTGCCCTAAACCTGCCCGATCGTGCGCCCCATGGCACGCGACGGTGCCCTGCTCGTCGTGCGCCCCGAGGCACACGATCGGGCCCTACACTTACTCTTACCCGTCGTGCGCCCCGTGGCACGCGACGGGCCTTTCCGCACCCGCTCTCCATTCAGCCGCCCCTGAGCTACCCGGTCCGACACATTGTAGCCGCTCTGCGACTTTCTTCCCGCCCACCCCCTCCTCCTTTGTCTCCCTGCAGCCGTGGGGGGAGGGTATGGGGGTGGCGGGTGTTGGGGTGTTGGGTCGTTCACTTCCCTTCCCCTCCTCCTCCTTTCGTTCCCACTGCTGCAGCTGCCGCTGGGGGGGAGGGTGTGAGGGTGTGGGGGAGCAGGGGGAGTGGCACCGGGGTGGCGGGTGTGAGGCAACCAGCAGCCGTCCCTCCACCTCTCCTCTCTTCCCCCCCTCTCTGCTGCTCCTGCAGCAGTGTGGGGGAGGGGAAGGAGGAGGGTGAGGAGATGGAGGGGGTAACCATTCAAAGTTAGCCCGCTTGCAGTACCTGCTGTTGCTTGTTTTATTGTTCGTTGGTGTACCTCTGCAGGTTGTGCTCTGCACTTAGCTATTCTTGCATGCAATTACGGGGGGATGTCAGAACTATGTTTATTATAACTGCATGTAGTTCTAGCTGTAGTGTAGCTATTAAATTTGTAGGTGGTGCACCTCTTCATTTGTTTCCTTTGCTATATGTACTTCGAAATCTATAGTGAAACACACATTCTTCCCAACTTCTCTTCCAACTCACTCGAACCTCACCCTAGGCAAGAACCACTCGACATACTAGTTGGGCCTAGGCTACTAAGCCTAGGCCCTAGTTTAAACTACTCGTTCATCCTCATTATACTTTCAATATGACTCGTATCTTTTCCCGACCCTTCTTCGTCGTTCTTCTTCCCCTGCTTAAGCCTCGGGCACTCTTTTTTCAGGTGGCCCAACTGGTTGCATAAAAAGCACGGCCCAAGGGCTCGGCTTGGTGCATCGACGCCGTTGATTGTGGGCTGCTGAGTCGATCCACGAAATCGAGGGCCCTCCCGGGAGCTCGATCTCGCCCACTGCATCAGTGCATCCGTTGACTCGGCTTCTTGGACGGCGTCGTTGAAGCTTCGTGGCCGGGTTCTTCGGACCTCGTACTGTATCTCGTATTTTAAACCCGCTACGTAGCGATCCAACCGCTCCGCGTCGCTCATATCGTCCACTTGATCCGCCAAGTTGCAGAACGTACTGGTGGACTCTTGGACCGAAGTCAGCTGCTTCCAGGCACGCAGCTTCATGCGAGCAGAGTCCGAGGCGGATATGTGCTCGAACCTGGTTCGCAAGGCGGCGCCCCACTCCCTCCATGTGCGTATCGTGGCCGTCCCAAAAATCGATGCTGCCTAATGCGTGACAGGTGTTGAAGTCCCGTCGTTCGCACGTGCTATTCCTGCCAAAGTCCCTTCGTGCTGCAGCGTTCGCCTCCACCATTCCAGCGCAGGTCCTCGCAACAGTGAAACTGCGAAATTAAGTGCGGGTGGCATCGTCATAAATCATGGCAGCATTAAAAAAGACCTCCACGCCGAACAAGCATGCAGAAACGGTGACTAACTTGTCACTTGGGTTAAACGGGGGCGGGTTCGTCGGCTTGATTTTAACAAAAGCCGTTGTTGCCATCGGGGCCGTTGGTACTGCTGCCGGCGTCGCCGTCGTCGTCGCTACTGCATGTGTCGGTGCTGCACGCGACTGTTGCGGCGAGTGTTGCTGCTGCACCTGCCTCGCCTCGTCCGCATCCATCTCGCCTTCCAGCTCGCTCCAGACCCGCTCATCTAGTGCAGTGCTGTTACTTGCGTCGTCCACAACAGGCGACTCCTGGTGCGCTTCATCACGCGCCTAGTGTAGTTCGGCGTTTTCCTCCCGAAGACGCGCCATTTCTGCAGACATCGTCTGCATGTTGGCCTGCATCATCTGGAACTGTTGCATGAGCTCGTTGAACTCCGCCTGGTCCATGTGTCGCAGGCTTCGTCTAACGGGCAGGGGGTGGCTAGCGATTTTTCTGACTTCGGTAAAAGCGTTAATGCTATCGTAGTCGAAGTGGATTAATCGGATCTATTCCACGGGCCGACCGCTTAACAGCCCACCAAGTCTATCGCTCCCCTTTTACAAACTACCTCGGAAACGCGAGGGTAACCTCGGAAAGTAGCTCCGATACCAGGTGTTATGAGTTGTATGAAAGGAGAGTGCGCAGAATGCAATATCGCGGAAGTGATTACAACTACTGAGAACACAACGAGGCATAGGACTAATATAGCAAAGCTAGCTGGGCCGAGTTTGCGGGGTCGCGAGATGGTTGGGTGCAGGTTCGGGGTTGGGAAACCCGAAAGCGACGCGGTAGTGGTTCGGAAGGCGAGGTCGGCGGACCGAACCTGGTTTTCCGAAAAGTCGGGGTTGTACGCGTACAGTGTGACCCAGTAAGGAATCCGAAAAATTCCTTACACTACCCCTGGTGGGTTAGTGGGTGGTCAGTCACCGCGTTACCACTGACCTACGCAGTTGAACCCTGTGTGTCTGAGGTGAAACCGCTTCGCGAAATGGAGTGGCAAGCCAAAATCGGTGGAACACCTTTCGTCAAGCGCGATAGATTTTTTAGGGGTATGGTCACAATCCTTCCAGCAAACTCGGCAAGCACTCAGCCGTCAGATTTTTGTCACTTGCTTCATCGAACTTTCAATTGAGGTTCACATTTGATGTAAGACCCCAAATGTGCAGTCTGCTGGGGAACATTGGGCTCTCCCCGCCTCGCCTCCACCACTCGCTTCGCTTCTCCCCATCATATCTTCTTTCTTGGCGTTCTCACTTCGCTTCCCCACAACATATCTTCTTGGCATTCCCAAAGCCGCTTCGGGTTCTGCCCTAGCCCTGATAACACTCCCCTAAGTTAGGACCAAAGTGAGGCATCGTCAGGTTAATCTTTCCCGATCAGTCGTTTACTAAGATGTCTCAAAAGTACACTGCACCTCAAATCGTTCATCTGACGCGGCAGTTCCTAGTCAGTTATCCGCATTCTGCTCCTTATGTCGTCAAAAACCGAGTACAAAGGTGCAGTTCACCCCAGTTCAGGTTTTTAATTGGGTGAGTTACATCGCAGCAATGCGGTGACATCAACCCGAAGCCCACCTGGGCTCAACCTGACGAGTCTACATTACGCCTCGCGACGTAGATAGTAGGCACCTTAGACCGTCGTGCTTCGGACCAACTCAGTCCGTCTGTGTACCTCCGTGGAAACATATCTTATAACCGCTCCAATGGCATTTTCCCTGACTCAGCCTGTCACAAGCTAAACTTCAAGCCCAGAAATTCGCGACGGTGATCTGATGTCGAACCAGCCACTGACGACTCGTCAGATTTAGTCGGACTAAATCTTCACGTCGTTCAGCCGTGATTCTCTCCGCGATGCATTGCTTCAATCTATCATAAGTTATTTTCCATTCTTGTGTTTTATATCTTATAATCAGTTAACGCTGACAATGCCCACTAATTTCTTACGTCACTTTCATTCAGGAACGGTAACATCCCCGCCTATACGAATTACAGCTCTCGACACAGCTTTCAAACCCCTCCTGGTTTTGCTGTTAATAGGAATTACAGTCGCTGACGGCCAAACGGTAGCGCCTTTCCGACGGTAATCCCTCTCAAACTATTCTAACATTCCCGATGCAGTCACACCTTCTGTATGCTCACCTCCCGTACAGTCACCTCCCCCTACCTCTGCACCTGGACCCGAACCTGGGAATGTGACGCGGTATCCCATAGCTGGGGATGATAACGCATATGTAAATACGTCATCAAGGGATGCAGGAACTGGAATAAGACCACCAGCCCCAACCCTAGAGCCGGCGTGGGAGCGGTTTGAAGTGTGCTCGGGTGGTAAGGGACCGTTCAGTGTGACGATCACTCCACGGCAGATCGGAACGAAGTGGAAGGGATGGGGCACATCGTTGGGATGGTGAGGTGATTGTACTGACAATGTGTGGTTTTCTATATATTGTTCCAGAGGATGAGTTTTGAGGCGCCTCAAAAGAGGTGATTGTACTGACAATGTGTGGTTTTCTATATATTGTTCCAGAGGATGAGACTCCCAGTCACACGCTTTCTCCTCCCCACTCAACTTTTCCCTCTCCCTATAACCCCCCACCTCTCCCTTCTTCCCACATCTCCCTTTCCCCCACCTCACTCTTCCTACCTTGCCCTTCCCCTACTTCCACCACCCGGCTGGGCAACTACATCAGCGGATTCCCCCATTCACCATGTCTCCGTCCCCTCCCCTTCGTTCCCCCTTTCCCCCCAGGCTGGGCAACTACATCGGCGGGTTCCCCCGCACTCCATCCTTCAGCCTGCGTCCACCCCGTTCCCCCTCTCCTCACCTCCACCCCAGGCTGGGAAACTACATCGGCGGGTTCCCCCATTCATCCTTTTTCCTTCCCCTCCCCAAAATCCCTCCGCCCACCCCCAGGCTGGGCAACTACATCGGCGGGTTCCCCCAGGCGGCGATGGACCCTCTGCTGGACCTCATGTTCCTCCCCTCGGGCCTCAACCTCAATATAGTGCGATTCAATATAGGCGGCGGCTCCGTCCCTCAATACAGCCCTCAGCTATACACTGATTATTCCATGCGCTGGCGAGCCATGCCGGGGTACTGGCCGGCGCAGGCAGCGGGGTTCAACTGGACGGCGGATTCGAGGCAGCAGGCGGTGCTGCTGGGAGCCAAGGACCGCGCGGTGAACGTGTTCGAGGCGTTTTCCAACAGCCCGCCCTGGTGGATGACCGCGAGTAAAGACGTCTCAGGGGCAAAGAAGGCGTGGAGGACAAACCTGCTGCGGAGGTTCGAGGGGAAGTTTGCCAAATACCTCGTAAAAGTCGTGGAGGGGTTTGCGAAAATCCCGGCGCTGGGGAACATTGAATTCGATACGCTGGAGCCGTTTAATGAAGGGCTGGAGGGACAATGGGTGGCCGGGATGGAGCAGGAAGGATGCAACTTTAACCCACCTGAGATGAGCAGAGTTCTTCTCAAGACTTGGCTGGCTCTGCGGAGAAGGAAGCTCAAGACAAAGCTGGTTGGGGTTGACAGCAACGCGGTTTTAACCAGCATAGGGTTACCACTGGTCCTTGGGAATACCTTCCTGCACAGGATCAACGTGCACGGTTACCCTCTGCTGTTACACATGTACATGAACGTGACAACTGGACAGGCTAAGTTGTTGACAACTGCGCGTTACACCCAGATGAAGCGGCTTGCCAAATCTCTCCAGAAGGAAGTATGGGTGTCTGAGTCAGGTCCGTTACTCAGGGATGGTAGTACCTTCGACCTTTCGCTCTACATGATGCGAAACATCGTTGAATCAGTCAACATCCTGGAAGCTTCTGCCTAAAATTATTGGCAAATATACGACAGCAGTGACAAGTGGTCAGTGATCAGGATAAACTGGGACCACCCTCCTGGTTACATGGGACCGTTTGAATCTCCTGTGTTGCAAAAACGGTTTTGGATGCTAAAGCAGTTCACGGATCCGGTGAGGCCTGGGAGCCTGCCGTTGGTGGTGCCGCGGAAGTGCCAGCACACTGTAGCTGCTTTCTACAGTACGGAGAAACGGACAGTGAGTGTATTTATAGTGATTCAGAGGGCAGAGGATGCTATGTTTGATGTGAGGCTGACTGGGTTCAAGCTGAATGTGGGGGGACAAACAGAGGCTGTTCTTCGCAAGACCACGTGGGCAGAGGATATTGTAGTCAGTTCTGCAAATATAGCTTCTAGACCGAGAGTAGTAACTGATGTGGTCAGTCTTTCTTATCTGTAACCTTCACATATGTTTTGGAGTAGTAGTAGTGCGGGCTATAGTGCTTACTGAGCACCAGCATACCGTATGTTAATTAGTCTAGTATGGTATGTCTCTGAAACGGGGCAATCAACCCCTTGAGCCTACACCACGCCTTCCTACCACGTCTCTGAGGAAGGGACAACCAAACCCTTTCGCCTACACCACACCTACCTACCAAGCCAAATCATATTCTCCTAACGTTGGTAAAATGTACGGAGACAAAGCTTTGCCCCTCAATAGTGATGCTTGCTGTACCGCCGCTGCCATCCTGTCTCTGCACCATGTTATGCACCCAGGATGTTCGCCGAACAAACACCTTGGTGATCCCCCTCGAGTTTATCCGGAACCCCTGCAGATTCACTGATAACTGTTTCGGCTCCGCCTTTTGATTCACTATAAACAGACTCACTACAGAGTCCGCCTCGTTAAAGAACCCCGCGATGCCGTGAGAGCATTCCGCGGGGATTGTAAGCGGCTGGCTTCCAGGCTTCGCGAGACTCGTCAGCATCTTGAATATATACCATCGCTTAGACCGCTTCGGGTTTTTCACTGTACCTGAATACCCCGCAGGGTACCACGGGAAGTGGATCATTGTCCAGCGAGGGTCAGAATCGTACGTCAGCCAGTATACGTACGCAGATGCTTGCAGGATGTTGACGGTCTCGATCACGTTTCGCGCCATGTACAGTGACAGGTCGAATGGTTGTCCGAATCGCCCCATTGGCCCGGATTCGCTTATCCAAACCTCCTTCCCCATCCCCTTGGCTATATCGCGCATTTTACTGTACATCTGGGTGGTGTAGCTGACCGGATCCTGGTTACTCGGGGCCGGGTCCATGTACCCATGGACGTTGATCCGCTTCACTTCATTTATCCTCGCTATAGAGTTGATCGCCGAAACCGTGTCCTCCGTCCAGCTATCAAACGCGGCGACCTTCGTCTGGAGTCCTTTCTTTTTCAAAGCGTCTAGAGTACCCCACAGCACACGGGTTATAGCGGGGACGTCGAAATTACACCCCTCCTGCCCGTTCCCCGCGTTCCAGAAGTTTTCCAGCGGCTCGTTAAACGGCTCCAGCGTATCGAAAGTCAAATTCCAAGCCGGGTCTTTTGCGAACTTCTCCACCACTGTAGTGAGGTAATCCACAAACTTCCCTTCGTAGCGCGGCTGCAGGTTTGGCTGGTTCTTCTCCGACGCGCCTGCCACGTCACCCGACACAGTCATCCACCACGGCGGGCTGTTTGAAAATGCCTCGAAAATATTCGCGCCGCGCTCCCTGGCGCCAAACAGAACATTCCTTTGCCGTTGATCCGCGCTCCAATCGTACGGCCCAGCCTCCGCCGGCCAATACCCGGGTATGGCCTTCCAGCCAGTCGTCACATCTTTAGAAAACTGCGGACTTAGTGTTTCGTTGTGCCCTCCGCCTATGTTGTAGCGGACGATGTTCAGTCCGAGCCCTTTCCGGGGGTGGAAGATGAGGTCCAGCAGCGTATCCATGCGATCCTTGGGGAAGCCTCCGATGTAGTTGCCTTGCCTGGTGGATCAAGGGGAGAGATAATGTTCAAGCGGGAATGTGAACAATGTGGCATTTTTTAGATGAAGTCGAAGCATGGAGGGTACTTGGCGAGGGTGGGCGAGCATTGGGGGAGTAGTTTGACAAGTGAAGGACTGGGGGGTTAGGAAGAAGGAAGAAGAGAAGAAGAGGAGGGGAGGAGAGGGTGGGGGGAGGGTGCCCGAAGGCGGCGAAAGAATGAGAGAGGAAGTGGATGCTGAGTAAATGAATGGACTCACCAAGCCAGAGACGTGCCCCATCCCTTCCACCTCGTCCCGATGAAGGAGGGAGTGATATTCAAGCTGATTGGCCCGGGGAAGCTACAGATGTCGAACAGCTCGTTGACCGGTTGTAGCGACGGCGGCGGGGAGAGCGACTTGGATTCGTCGACGGAAAACAGGCGGACGCTCCGGTTGCGCCGTTCGCGCCGCATACGCGCGTGAATGGTGATTTCGTCGAGCGAGTATCGCCCCGCTGCGCCCGCTGTTGATGCCGGGCGGATGCTGTCGCGATGCAACGCGCGCGCGTGGGCGGCGCTGAAGGAGGAACTCAATAACGCGGACACTATGAACAGCAATGGCAGTGGAGGGGGTCTCCGCCTATAAAGAGCCGCCCCGGTGCTACTTGCCATGCTGGAGATGCAGTAGAAAATCTAGGGTAGAACCCTGACAACAGTTATTCTGTTTTCCTGAAGCACTGTGGAGGGAGGGAATTCGTGCACAGGTTTGAAGGCTTGAGGCTACAAGGAAGTGCTAGCGTATTCAAAACCGGTCTTGCCGTTTGTCTGAAAGTTTACTTCAAGACTAGCCAGAATTCAACAACGAATTCTGTTGTAAGCTCTTGGCAAATATAGACGGCGATCAGCCAGTGTTCGACGCGCCCTATGGTAGATTTGAGAGAATGATTTGCATCGGGGACTGCGCGCTTCAAATTCGCGCGTGAGGCGCGATAATACCTTCCGGATTCGATCGAGGGGCGGAAGTAACATGGGTGACACAGAAAGTACCGACTGCATTCCAAAATTGGGCTCACACTCGACTCACATTCCTACTTTGGGCTCGAAGCGCGACATTTTCCAATTTTTGTGGCTTTGGTCGGGGATCTCTCCCCAAGCACATGGCGCGCGCAATCTCTCGGGACATTGCGCCACTTTGGTCTGGAGGCGCGGTTCGCCACCTGTCTTCCTACCCAGCTGTCTGTTGACCACCTCCCAGGCGGACCACTCCAACGATTATCTGCGACAGTATTTTCCAGGAAATTGACGGTCTTCATATGGCAGAACGATTTGGACGAGTCGCTAAGGGACAACTTCAGCTGCAATCCAATTAGGCCAGCGCGGTTTGCGAATGCGATCCCCAGAGGAAGAAGCTGAGGGGTCGTTATCTGCCCGCGGTCAGAAAAGTATAAACCCCATCTGGATGGCATGCGGTAAGGGGAGCCCCAACCCTAAACACGGGCAGCCGCGTGGTTCTGCCCGAAAAGATCGCATTCGCAAACACGCACTGCGAAAATTGGATCGCATTTTAAATTGACCGAGTTGGCAAGCTACATCGTACAGCTCAATAGGTCGCAAACGGGTCCACAGCCGTCACCTGGACGTTTGAGGCTGAGTGCGATTGGGGGTCGAATGCCACATTGAAGCGGTGCGACCTCATGGAACTCCTCTGACAGGCGATTTCGCTCACTCCTTAGCGGGGATATTCCGAACGAAACAGTGAGCATTTTCGTTGGCATAAACGAGTGCAACCAGGCTGAATGTTATTGATTTATTTAGCCTTCTTTTCCATACTGTGGCTGTACCAACTTGACCAGAAGCAGGCCACAACATAAAGCGTCAGAAAACCAATTCAGGAAATATTAAATCGTACTTCGGATTTAAATAGGAGGTTTAATGTCCTGACGTGACGGGGTATATGATTGTTCATAATATTATCGTTGTAATAGTGGAAATAACTGGGTTGGTCTCACATGCGTATATACTCACCATCGCCAAGACACAACAGCGAGTACTACCAAGACCCCACCACACCCCAACCAATGTTCACATGAAGCCTGCACCACATACGGTACTTCCGCATTTTCTGCATACAATGGATGCTCCCACGTTCTCGACCAGATATGGTACTAAAACACCTAGCCATTGCTAATCTACGCACGAGCAACTATATTACGTGGAGACCCCGAGTCACTGTCGACTATGGCTGTCAGTAAAAAAGGCGGGCGCCTGGATTCTGTCGTTAATCATAGCTCTTACCATCGTCCGCCGCCCAACTATGGCTCCCGTAGTAGGATTCGGATACGAGCCCTTCACGAGACTCTTAGACACTCAATTTGCCAGCGATTTTCCAGCCTGTTGATTCTTTCATGTCTCTTCACATTCGCCCCCTCCTTCACTCTCTGCCAAAAGATCGACTCGACTAGTAGTTTAGCGGATCTTGCGGAAGGGTCCGTATCCCCTCCAATCCCTTCGCCTGCTCCTGATACCTCGGCCCCAAGCTCAGCACCGTATGCAGATATAGATGGTCTCGCCGCCGACAGCAGCAACACAGCTAGCAACGGAGTTGACAATAGCGAGTATTGGTCACCCGCTCCCGCTTCCTTGCCCGCCACCTCGGACAAGGCGTCTGCGGAGAAAACGGGGGACTTGGGATCTGCCCCTGCGCCGTCGTACACAGGGTCGGAAAGTAGTGGCTCGCTCAGCAGTGGCGCGATAGTAGCTACAGTGCTTGGAGTTGTTTTTGGAGTATTTATGTTGGTAGTTGTGATATTGGTGGCTGTGGTTCGTGCCAAGAACCACGAGCGAGCTCGTGCGGTATCTAGAGGTAACTTTGGGGACGTGGACCTTTAGCAACGGTATATACTGTAGTGCTCATGCTGCTGCGATTTGTTCCCCTTCTGTAGCACCTAAAAGCATTTCCTCTGCAAGTCTTCAAATTTTAATTCATGTGTCATTGATGTTCAGCCAGCTGTTGAAACGAGCCAAATCACGAAAACAATACAAAGGACCTAACTACCATATTGGCAATGCAGCGTCATACTAACCAAATATTCTAATCAGCATTCGCCACTAAACAGTAAACCCTAGATAGACAAGTTAGTGAAGGTGACAGAAACAAGTGTTTGTCCCCGTACGGTGACCGTCGCTTTTCCCCTAAACCGCTTGTAAACCATTTTGCTCAAATTCGCCGACCGGGAAGTCCTTCTGACAACCACTCGAGTGTTTCCCGCCAGGTTTGTCTTGAATCCTTGAAGATTAATCTTCACTTTCCGTTCCGTCGCCTGCTGATTCACAATGAAAACCGTAACCCTGTTTTCGTCCGGGCTGTAGAACGCAGTCATCCCGTGCTCGCAGTCCGAACCTACCTTGATTGGCTTGGATCCAGGCTTGGCAAGCATGGTGAAATGCCTGAAGAGCCAAAATCGCTTATTCGGCTTGGGTGCTTTCATTGAACCGGAATACCCAGGTCGATATTTTGATGGAAAGTCGATCATCGACCATCCATTTCCCGTGTCGTACGCTTGCCAGTACACGTACGCTGAAGCCTCCATGATATTGACGCTCTCAATAACGTTTCTCGCCATGTACAGCGAAACGTCCCAGAAGCTTCCTCCTTTGCCACTGGGTCCTGCTTCGCTAACCCAGACGTCCTTCCCGAGCTGCTTCGCCAAGTCGCGAACACCCCCGAAATTGTCTTCGTAAATCTTCGGAACGTCGCTGTTCTCGAACGTGTTCATGTAAGAATGGACATTTATCCGCGATAGTAGCTGCACATTAGCTACCTGCGATAACCTCGCAGTTCCGCGTGACCAACTGTCTACGCCAACCAGCTTCGTTTTAAGCCCCTTCTTCTTTAACGAGTCTGAAGTGTACTTGATGACACGCCCCATTGCCGGAGCATCAAACGAGCAGCCCTCGTGCGCCATCCCCTTCTGCCAGAACCCCTCCATCGCTTCGTTAAACGGCTCCAACGTATCGAAAGTAACGCCCCACTTTTTCGCGAACTGCTCCACGACGGTCGTCAGGTAGTTCGCGAAAGCGCTCTCGTACTCCTGTTTCAGGTTCGATTGGCCGATCAACGGCGGGCCTGCCACGTCACCCGACTTGGTCATCCACCACGGCGGGCTGTTCGAAAACGCCTCGAAGACATTCGCCCCTCTCTCCTTCGCTCCTTGTAGCACTCTCCGCTGACGTTCGTCCGCGCTCCAATCGTACGGCCCCTTCTCCGTCGGCTTGTAACCCGGCATGCCCCGATAATCCGTATGCTCCATTAGATAGAACTGTGGGCTGCGTTTCTTGTTGTGTCCGCCTCCTATGTTGTAACGAACGATGTTCAAAGCCAGGTTGTCCTTTCCGAATAGGAGGTCGAGCATTACGCTCTGCGTCTTCTGCGGCAGACCCCCGACATAATTCGCGAACCAGGCGAGCGAAGTGCCCCACCCTCGCCACGTGGTTCCGACGAATTTCGGCGAAACCGTGAAGTTGATACCACCTGCCCAAGGGTAGAAAGGGGGTTTTCGGGTTTGGCATGAGTTGAAGAAAGGGGTCACCTCATATCTCAGGGCAGTATGATCGGCATAATAAGCATGAAACGCCTGATCAGAACTATAACGATCAGCATAACCAGCATGCTCCATACAATGCTCCTTCCCTGAATGATCATGGGCATCATCCTCCTGATCAGAACTTCTGATCTGTGACCCAGGGATCAAAACCCTGCCGGGTATTGCGATTAGCATCTAAAGCATGAGATCTAAAGCTCACTATCGCACGGGAAGACACTTCAATTTATTAGAAACCACTCTCGCACCTGAAAACTTGCAAGTCGGGAATATTTCGTACGACGGGCTCAGATTAGGAGGCGGCGGCTTGCGCGGGCGGCCGCCGCCTTTTTTGGCAGTCACTGTTGCTGGATGCGCGGCAATCCCGAGGAGGGAAACGATCAGGAACACACTAAGAGAGAAGCGAATGAACGGGTTCCTTGTCATCGTCGTATGTGCGTTGTATCAAGGGTCTCTTGGAAAAATCGAAGCTAGTAACCCTCAAAGTTTGCCTGAGCCTGCTTCGCCTGCTTCTATAAATGACCGTCCTGGAAACCGTTAGAACCGCCTCAGGAAGCGAGGGAACTCCTAGTATGGACTCGCGATTATGCTCCATTGCTGCTGATTAGTCGTACCCTTATACCAGTAGTAAGAGGGTCAAGAGAACCTTTCCTGGCCTTTCGATTCGACAAAGACTGCGTGCCGGGTCGCTCTCCGGAACGACTAGACCGTCTACCATCAGCTGGTCATTAGAAGCTGCACGATCGTAGAAGTCAGCGATTCGTATGCCTGCTGTGATTCTATTAGTGTTGTAGGCCTGCTATAAGCACTCGCCTCAAGCCGAAACAATCGCGAGCAAGGGCAGTAGCTATGTATGCGATGCGGCGATGTCGCTCACTGCGATCAAGGGCAGCAGGAGGTATGCGACGGAGTGACTCGGTGAGCGACGAGCGAGCGAGCGAGGCGACCGGGGAAGTCGTAATGCGACTGAAGTGCAGCTATGATGCGACGATATCGTGGGCATACGCCGGAAAAGCAAGGGCATGCGACAGAGTAATTTGCGACCAAGAGCATGCGAAGGAAGTCAAGGCG